CGATTCCAGGCTTGTGATTTAGACGGTTTGTGTTTATTTTTAAGCGATTTTTAACAACTGGGATTTTTCTTATCCTTATCCTAATTTACAGAACAGTTTTTATCTCTACTCAATCGCTAGGACGACTTAATCAACATCAAAAGTTAATGATTCCTAACCTTACCCAACAATATGTAATTTCAAATCATGAAATTTTTTTTTAAAACTTTATAAATGTATAAAAGTAACTTTATTTTATTGTCACAATACACTTTATCTTTTATGATTAAGTTTTCTGTTAATCAATTAATCAAAATGTGCAAGGAAAAGCAGTTTGCAAACTGATTGTGTATTTTTCTGTCATACACCTTCAGTCGTTCTGCATAAAAAATCGTACACATGAATAGGAAGGAACCTTGACGTGGTTCATGTGCTTTAAACAAATACCTTCCAGACAGATACATTCTCACCTGTTGTACTGTGAGGGATAAATGGTCAGAAATTTGATTTCTTTTGGTTTTTTTTTTTTTTTTTTTTGGCTGAATTTAATTATTACTCAGTAAATCAAAATATTAAAATCCTAGTTAATCTACTATTTGTTTTCAACGGTTTGTATTATTCAAATAGTCTAAAAAAAGTTAGCAAATCAATAAAAAGGGCTGGTGCTAGTTACCGATACCGATTGTGATATATTTGGCTGAAATGCCGATGAAGATTAATCACCAACATATTTTTAATTAATTATGAGTTTCCAAATTCCTTTTTTTTATTTTTAGTTGACATTGAGTACATTTTGGGTATCAAGAAAAGCTAGTATAGGTATAATTTTTATTAAATTTTGCATATGTTTCATGTAAAAGATAATGACTAGAATCTAGTTTGTATTTATAAAAAAAATTCAAAACAATAATTTGGAGGGAGCGATTTTCTTATTACTTTTTCAGTTAATTTTTGTTTGAATTTCAGGTTTATATTTTCTTAACCAGTTTAGCATTAAAGTTTAATTTTTATTTTTTTTTTATTGCGTGCTTTTTTTTATAGAAGGCTGGAAAGACCAAGTCTTAAGCTCAATAAAAAAATATTTTCAAATATCGTGTAAATGGGACGAATACATAGGGGGAGCTATGGGGATAAGCGATAGGGGGAACCTTCAGGTGCCAAGTAAAAACCTTTTAAAAATATATATCCAAGTTAGTGGGGAGTTCACAAATAGTAATTGGGGGAGGGGCTGCTTATTTGGTATTTGAGAGTACCATTGTCTTGGATAGATTGTGTTATAGCAATGATAATGTTTTGCAAAAAATTGTGGTGATTCGAGCTTGGGGACAAAAAAACCCAATTTTCGGGCCCACCCGGCCCTTAACGTGGGAGCAACAAGTTGATAAAATAATTTTTTTAGTATTTTTATCTAAGTTTATAATCATCAACAAATTTAAGGGTTGCGAGTTCGATCCCTACTCGAAGCACATAAACGGTATCGGTAAGGTTGAAAACGGAGAGTTAACTTATAAATGCTATTCTCCTTGCGGCGGTGCTCTGTGACAAGACCATTAGGACATCTTAGAGCATCTTAACAACAACAACAGCAACACAAAAATTTCTTATTTTTCAAAAGTTATGACCAAATAAAGTTTTAACCCCCCTCAACTGAGGGGGCTGTAATCTTTGTACGGTCTTAAAAACTAATGACTAAGAGATTAATGCATGAAATTTGAAATTCGTTGATGAATATAAACTTAGATAAAAATATTAAAGAAATTATTTTATCAACTTGTTGCTCCCACTTTAAGGGCTGGGTGGGCCCGAAAATTGGGGGTTTTTTGTCCCCAAGCTCCAATCACTACAATTTTTTGCAAAGCATTCTCATTTGACATAAGCATGAACATACAAAAGTTTGGAGTTTGCAAAATGTGTGTATATGTCCAACTCAAACATCTAAAAATCCAGTGTACACCACTGATATATATATATATATATATATATATATATATATATATATATATATATATATATATATATATATATATATATATATATATATATATATATATATAATTTGATAGTTTTACTGAAATGTTATATCGGTAAACAATAGTTGCTTTCGTGATCGTCTAAAAAAAAAACATGTTCCTACCAAGAATAAACTATCACTCTTACAGTTTCGAATACAAATTGAACATAGTTTGTGTAAAGCTGGAAAAACTTAATCACTTTTGCAAAGCGTAGGCGCTCATCACTTGCTGCAGAAAAAAAAGTAGCTGCAAAGAGACCTAACATTGAAAACCCTTCAAAAGATATAAGATTTGATATGTGTAGCCATTTCCCAATATTTCAAAACAAACAAAGTTGCTGTAGGAAGTGTGAAAAAGGTTTTACTTTTGTACAATGTATGAAATGCAAGATAAACTTGTGTCTTATAAAAGTCAGAAACTGTTTTAATGAGTTTCATGGAGTTGACCAAAAGATTTTAATGTTTTTTAATCCATTACTAGTTATTTTTATTGTTTTTCAGCATCCCTATTTGACTTTTGTTAACACCAGCTTTAAATGTTTTTTTTTATTTTTATATTATTACTCTTTTAGTAAATGTAGTGTAGAATTAATATTGCTAAAACACAGAGTTGCTTGTTAATTAAAAATATTCTTTGGTGGGCAATGTTCTAATAACTTTTTTTTTATTTTAGTTTGTCGTATTGACACAAATGAAATTCAAAAAAATTTAGTGTACACTTTATTATTATTATTATTATTATTATTATTATTATTATTATTATTATTATTATTATTATTATTTGATGATAATTGGAGCATGATATGGTTAAAATCTAACTCAAGTTTTAAAATAAAGTTTCAATTATTTTTGGTTTTACTTGATATCTCACTTTAAATGTTTACTTTAAATGTTAAAATAATGTTTTATGCAGAAAAACAAAGCAATTTTAGTCTCAAGGTAAAATTGTATTTGCATTTGAATTAATAGACGTTATATCTACCCAGTGGGCACCGGACCTAAAAAAGACGTATTTTGAACGTTCAAAAGACGTTCAAAAGACGTCCAAAACGTCTTTAAGACGTTTAAAAGACGTCTTTTTCACGTTCGTGCCCACTGGGTATTTCTTTTGGCTTATTCTAGAGTAGTTTACTAAAAAATACTATATTTAAATAGTTAAAGTATACTAAAACATACTAACAAATATATAAAATAGTGTATAAAACATACTATATTAAATATAGTATTCTAACAAGATAAAATAATGTAGGGCTCTTGTTTTATTAAATGTGATTCCACGCTTGATTTACTGAATGCGTAAATGTGGGCCATTTGTAGCTAAGATATTTACACTACTCAAGTGTTAGCGACACATAGCCTATATGTAGCTATAAAACTATTATCACTTGAGTATTATAAATACTATAACTATACAAGGTCTAGACATGATTGTCACAATCGAGTGTGGCAATCACATGTGGCGCGGATCAAATTTTCTAGTCGGGAGGTTAAGGTTTCTTCTTAAAATTTTACGGTGAAAAATTACTCACTGTTATTCGGTTTATCATTGTAATAAGCAATAAAAACAATTACTTATATAAAAATAACAGTATCAAAAGTTAATTTTTTAGAAATAACTTAACTCGATCAATCATGATAGCATTCTAGTTTTAGTAAAATTATTTTTTTCATAGTTAATAACACAACAACACAACTGTGACAAGTCAAATAAAATTGTGAACTTGATATGCAGACTTTAGATGTCATAGTAAGATTAAAAATTGAATAAATATATAATGTGTATGTATTTAACTTATCTATGACGCACACTGGACCTTTTTTTTTTAAATAATCAAAAATAGCTGTTTATAAAGCGGTTGTAATTTCTTTTAGAATAACTTTTAAAATCAACTACATTTGTAAGTAATGTTAAATTTAAAAAAAAAAATTTAGCATTTTTTTTTTACTGTATAATATTTTTATTTTTGTATAAAAGTACTAAGTAACTTGTATTTTATGAATGAAAGTTTTTGATTTCAGGTACAGAAACCAAACCAAAATGAGAACTGTCGTATTTTTCATTTTAGTATCTATTTTTTTGGTTGCTTTAAAGCCTACCGGTACTCAAGCTCAAATTGTTGGTAAACACATTTAGCATTTAAATATATAAACTAAACTAATTAAGATGGTTAAATTTACTTTTTTCAACTGATAACTTAGACTGCCGACGGGTACCCGCTCGTTGGTTTCTTCCCGGATAGAAATATTTATTGACGGGTAACAGATATTTTATAAGTTTAAAAATCTTTTCATTCATTCTTAAACTTTAGAACCATTATTTGTAATACACCAAGAAAACAATATTAACTTGGTATGTGAAAAAATATTTTGAAGATCTTGTTCAAATTTTTAATAGTTCTTTAAGACCATCAGAATTTGTAAAAATGTTCATAACATTCGGAAAGTTATTTGAGTTTTTGATTCAGATACCAACTTATTATTCCTCAATGATTATTACTGCTATAACTCTTGTATATATTGTTTTCATTTAAGTCAAACAGAATTAATCCAACTTGTTTACTAATTTGTCTCTCGGATAAAAATATTTCAAAACCTGGAAAGCGGAAGATAAAATTTATTTTAGAGTTTTCACACAAAAACATGCCCACACCTGCGACTTCAGAGCCATCAAAATACGCTTTATCAACTGCCGAGAATGTGATAAATGATGATAAATGACGGCATTCATATTTGGCATCCGAACAGCAGACTTATTACATAGTCTGATCTTGCTACATGCTAAAATTTCTAAATTGTAATAGGGACTTGTGTAACCTGGACACTTTAAGTTAAATAAAATTTAGAAATAAGCAAAAAAGAACCCATCTAAATAAATGACATCATTCAACTAAATGTTTTCCTTAACTCTTTATAAAAGCAACTTTGATAAAAAGTACTGATTTTTTAACGGGTACTCAGCAACCCGCCCATTTGTTCGACGGTATTCTGGACAGGCATTTTCACGATTTTTAACAGCACTACTGGCAACATCAGTTTATAGAAAAATGAACTTCACTAACATCGCATTATTATTGAAAAATATACTAGCTCAAAGAGTGTTATAAAACTGTTATTTAAAAAATAAATATTTTTAAATAAATGCTTTATTCTAACTAATTGATCCGTTATGTCAGAGTGGATAAGGATGGAAAGAGAGTTTTGACTAACTAAACTAGTTAAACAAGTACTATTAAAACTTGACCTTAACACTAATAAATGACTTGTTTTCTATCTATAATTTAACTTAAAATTACAAGTTTTCTAGAAATGGATCTAGTAAAAAAAATTTTATCCTTTATAAATTGTTGCAGTATTTATCAACCTGTCTGATCAAAACACTAATATAAACGTTTGACAGAAACGAGAAAAAAATAATAATCTTTTAACAAGTATAATACACGAATAAGTATCTAATAAGTATGATTTTTTTGACATTTAAAATTAATTTTACATTTTTTACAAGATTCTTTATATATTTTTTTTATTTAACCGATAATAGATTGCTGGGAGACTTGGAGTCGATGCACGAAATGGAGTCAGGGTGGAACAGGTACTTTGTGGAAAAGCTGCAATGATCGTTGTAAAGAGCTCGGGCGTAAACGTGGCCAGTGTGAAGAAAAGCCTTCGCGTTGTCCTTTATCGAAGAAAGCATGGACTTGCATCTGTTACTAAAATTTATCAACCAGATCAAAAATCTGCGTACGCCTTAACCTAAACATAATTTTAGTCGAAACACATTTTTCCACAATCATAATAAAATATTGCTTTTATGTGAAATTGTTGTTGATTTTTTTTAATCTTATAATAAAAGTTAAAAACTAAATTTTCTTAGAAATTTTTTTTTTAATTTAAAAAAAAAAATTTTTTAATTTAAAAATTAATTATTAGCATTTGTCGTTTACGGATACCAATCCCCAGCTAGCGCGCATACGTTGTCCAACGTCGGAACAACGTCGGAAGTGTTGGGAATTATTTTTAACTATGCGCTAACGTCAAAACCAATGTCGGGCCAAGGTCGCAATACAACTGATGTAGAATGCGAATAGTGTGTTACAGGTTTTAATGTTGAAACAGTTTTCGGCCATTTTAAAATCCTGTTATTTTATTTTAGCGCATTTTTTTTATTAAAGAGAATTTTGTTGTTTTTGAATTTATATTTAAATTAAAGTTAGTATATTGACATAACTTATACCTTATTTGATAAATATCTATTTATGTGCATATTGTTCAACTTATTTTAAGCAGCTGCCGTGCAAAAAAATAAGTGCCTTGAAACAAATGCTTGAACTATTGAAGATGTTAAGCTTAAACTAAATTTAAGTTTAAAAGTTATGTAAACACCTAAAATATACATTCTTATTGTATTTTGTACATTTTATGTAAGAACTATGACTGCAAAATTTGATTTAAAAATCATAGATAAATAATTTATTACATAAAACTCTTATCAAAAACTCATATTTTGTAGCACTTGATGCTTTTCAAAAAATCATCAGTGATTTTTTGAAACACCTCTACTGTTAAAATATATTAAACTTAAATCTAGTGTATCTTCATCAAAATTACCTAATAGTTACAATAAAAGCAATAAATATTTTATATGCAGTGTTTATATGTTTAACTACTACTTTATTTATATTGCTTATTAACACATTTTAAATTTTATATATATATATATATATATATATATATATATATATATATATATATATATATATATATATATATATATATATATATATATATATATATAAATATATATATAAATATATATATATATATATTTATATATATGTATATATATATATATACATATATATATATATATATATATATATATATATATATATATATATATATATATATATATATATATATATATATATATATATATATACATGTATTTATATTGAATTTTATTGCTATTAATAAAAAATAATATTTATTTTAGCATGTAACATTAAATCATAAAAACACAATACAATAAATAGTTAATAACTGTTTAGCTATCTGTTTGTAGTTAAGAGTTACATCTTTGAAGCATCATTTTTAAACAATTTTATGCAAAATAACTAAATTACTTGGTTCAATTTGTAAGTTATTATCTATGAAAGTTATGCAAAGAATTGTGAAGATATCATTTTAAATCATCCCAGATAGCACACTATCAATGGTCACAACCATCTCGTCTCTGGATTTGATCTTGTTTGATTCCTTTATTACTAATTCATCTTAAGATTCGACCATTCTGAGTTCTAAAGACCACTTCTTCTAATTTGTAATTTATTATATATATATATATATATATATATATATATATATATATATATATATATATATATATATATATATATATATATATATATGTATATATATACATATATATATATATATATATATATATATATATATATATATATATATATATACATATATATATACATATACATATATATAAATATATGTATATGTATATATATATATATATATATATATATATATATATATATATATATATATATATATATATATATATATATATATATATATATATATATATATATGAGTATTTATATAAAATTTTATTGCTATTTAAAATAATCAAAAGTATTTTTTGATATAACATTGAATCATAAAAACATGATACAAATATGTTAAATTTTGCATACTTTTTTATATACAGTATTTAACTTTTTTTTTTAAATAAGGATTTATTTATGTAGTTAATAACTATTTAGTTATCTATTTTTAGTTGATAACTACATCTTTGAAGCTTCATTTTTAAACATTTTTATGCGAAATAACTAAATTATAGCTATATTCTATAAAAATTATGCAAAGAAGTTGTGAAGATATCATTTTAATTCATAAGCAGATTAAATTCCAATTTAGAAGAAGTGGTCTTTAAAACTCAGAATGGTCAAATCTTATTATTAAGTCATAATAAAGGAATCAAAAATGATTGAATGAGACGAGAAAAGAGAAAAGAGACGAGAAGTCACACTAATTGTTATTTAAAGAGCACAAATATAAAATATTCTATTTCCATTTTTGTGCTTATTTGAAACTAGTAGTTATACTCGAACACTTCTTAGATTTTTGATAAGAGTTTTATGTAATAAATTATTTAGGATTTTTAAATTAAATTTTGCAGTCAGAGAGTTCTTACATAAAATGTACAAAATACAATAAAAATGTATATTTTAGGTGTTTACATAACTTTTAAATAAGTTTATCTACATTATTTTAGAGAGTATAGTTTATCAAAACTTAAGTGTACCACAATTTATATGAGGGTCTGGGGTAAAATTGTGCAGTTGCCATGTACCCTCACGGAGCAGCATTGGATGCAGGAGAATCTACAAAATTGTGCTATAAGACTTTTATAAAGCTACCATATATTGCATCAAGACTACATTTTATGCTCTAATACTTTTATTTTATTTTAAAAGATAATTTTTTCTTGGTCAAAATCATTATACTTATCGTTATTTCTTTATAATATTTTAGTTGCAATATCTTAACTGATCTAAGCATCTGTTGATTTGATTCACTTTAAATAACTAACTTTCTAATGATTTGATGATAAAAGTTTTTTTTTTTTTTTTTTAATATTATTACTATCGTAATAAAATTAAGTATATAGAATTAAATAGTACAAATATCGAAAAATAATATACGGCTACTAAAAATAGAAATATATTTCCAGCAAACATTCTATAGCAGAACTTCAGTGGACCTATGTAGTCAGAGCGGACCAATATATTCAGCGGACTACTGTGTTTTGCTCAACAGTTCCTTAGTGGACCATTAGTGGAAGCTAACAATAACATCAGGCCGATGACTAACAACTATTAACATTTCGGAAAGTTATCAGCTTGCCATTTAATGCGGATGCCACTAATGGTCCACTAAGTAACCCATGAGCAAAACTACAATTAACTGTTAAAAAATACCTATATAGAAACACTGCAAATCTACTAAAACAATTTTAATGGGCTATTTTGCAACTGACACTAAGTTTTGTTTCACTAATAATTTAAATGGCTGCTTTATATATAACAAATAGAAGAAGATATATATATATATATATATATATATATACACATATGTGGATAATAGTTATATTAATATATTTGGGTATATATATATATATATATATATATATATATATATATATATATATATATATATATATATATATATATATATACCCAAATATGTGGATAATATTTATATTATGTTGATATCCATATTGTTGAGAATATTTCACTTGAATTAAGTTAATTTTACTACTAGTTAATTTTTGATATTCTAGGTCATAATTTGAAAAAATGCCTACGGATGAGACTCCCTAAGACTTTTTGGGTCAAAAGAATTAGTTACTAACAATTTACTTAAAGTTACTTACAACTCATCATGGATCCAGGATTTTTGGTTGGGGATATTAATACCAAAAATGGTCAGCGTAATTTTTTGAAATATTACAAATAAAAAATTATTGAATTTGAGAGCTTCGGTGGTATGCTATGGGGATTTAGTTCATTATATAGCTAGTTGAATTTCAATCTTTCTTCTCAGGGAAATATTTAAAGTAAAATTTTTAGGTGTTTTGTTTTTAACACCCAAAATGTTTTTTTCTTTGGCGAATAAAAAAAAATTCATTTAATAAATCCAAGTTAAATAATATAAAATCTACAACGCAAGAAGACTTTAAACTGTCAATCTACTCTTGCTAGCTGCAAATCTATCAATTACATCATTAACTTCTAAAGTCATGTTATTATACATAAATTGTAAAGCCAGGCCAGTTAAACGCTCATAATTTGTTCTGTTACGCAAAGGACTTTTCAAAATATCCATGGCGCTGAAACTTCGTTTAACTGTACATGTTGTGGTACTGTACATGTTGTGATATAGAAAATCCAAAAAAGTGTTTTGATGGTCCAATCTAAAAAATAAAATTAATAAATAACAGAGATTGAAACTAATGCAGTATTTAAGTTTTGTTTATAAATCATACCTTTCAGGAATTATATCTAATGGTGCTAATAAAGTTGAAGGATGGATTTGCAAATGTGGGCAAATTTCTTTCCACTACAAATATTCATTATAAATAGTTTCCTCATCTTGATGTCCAATTACAGAATTAAACACTCTCAAAGTTTCAACCACATTATTCCAACTGTGTTGAGAAATCACTGATTGTAACAAAGCAGACATTTTCATAACTAGTTGATGGTGATTACAAAATCGCTTATTCAGAGATTGAATCACTGAATCTAGGTACGGAAACCAAATCGCTCTTTTGTAAAATTGGCATGCAATTTCAGCAGGTACGTTATTTCTATGCAATTACTTACTTAAGACACGAGAGGTAAATAAGGGTATATATATATAGCATTTTAAAATAATTAGCAATGTTGAATGAGCCTAAAATAGCATACGTCCATATTTCGTTCTCATCACAACGCCACGCTAAAATGGACTTTTTCACAAAGTTTATAGCATTTAATTCACCAATTAGATCGTTATTGACTGTTTGCAATTACAAACATTATAATAAAACGTGTTTCATTAAAACATCTCAATAAATCGTGTTTCACTAAAACATTTTAAGCATGAAACAGTATTGTAAAGACTTTTCTAATATCTCTCTTCTCTCAACAAAATCGCTAATAAAATTGCATTGTACTAAACATGTCCCTAATTTTGGGTACGGAACAAGTAAAATTTAATGTTCAGGACATGACTACTACAATACACATAAAATTGCA